CGTTCGCTGCCCCGAAAAAGGTGAACTCCCCTTTTTATTTGAACTTGTTTTCGGTGTTGTCGTATTTGTTTCTTCGAATAACTTTGTTCTTTGCTCGGTTCATCGCTGTTGTATGTTGAAAGTTTGCTTGGTTTCGAATGGGGTTAACTCAGTCGACTAATGTATGAGGTGTATCCCTCGTGCGAGTTGCTCATCTTCAAACATCTATGGAGACTGTGAGTAGAACACGAGTTAGGTTGATTTTTTTTATGAGGTTCTAATGCCATTTGTTTACTGTTGGGTTTGTTCGTTAAACATTTCGAGTTCAATCGCTATCATTCTTGTTGTTCGTTTAAGTCTTTGATTGTGCGTTTTGATCATGTTCATTTGCACTCATGCCTTTTGAAAGGTCTTGAACTTTTTCTTCTGTATCTCTTTTGAATCCGATTTAGAATGTTATTTTCTGTTATGTGAGGGTTCGTTGAATATAGCTTGTATGTGATGTTTATTGTTGTCTATCTGCTTCCGATTTCTTAGAATTCAAAAGGTATTGAGGTATGTTGAGAAGTCAAGTCTCTAGGATTGAATGTATGCCATGTAGAAGTTAGTTTGATGTATGGATTTTATTTGGTAACAGTGATTCATTAAAAATGTATTAACTTCAGATTTCTTTAAAAATTGTAATAGCCTAAGTAAACTTCTCTAGCATCACATACTATTACATGTATTTATTTATGACTTACATTGGCAAAGTTTTCATAAAGATGCCTCAAAATTTCAAATATATGTATTATTCATGTATGCTCGTAAAAATCTAAATATGTGTCTGTCAAGTTTTTGTAGTCTTAGGGTATGGAATTTGCTTATTTTGCGTTACTGTTGGATCTAATTTCTTAGTTTACTTGGCATTGTATGCTTCCCTTGGACATCTTAGCATAACATTAGCATAGTAAACTAAACACATGCATTATTGCCTTATTTCTATTTTTATGTGTCTTGGTTGCATTATACAGATTTAAAGTATGCTTTGTTACTAATTTATATCTTGTTTTGTTCTTTTTCTATGTGTGAATCGGCTCCTCCCGAGTTCTTGGAGACTTCTCTTCCTTGCATTCCATTGATTGGGCCTTAGAGGCCCGATTCTTTTTTTTTTTTTTTATCGAGTCATCCGGGTTTTGAAACCGACGAACAGGGTTGGAAAATTAAATTACAGATTCCGAAAAGGTTGAAAACAGGCTGAAAAACAACCTGTATACACCGATATACAACGGTATACGCTTATATACAGGTTAAAACGCAGCAGCCACAGGTTGAAGAATAAAAGTGGGGTCAGAAACTGAAAATGCAGGTCATAGTATCTCAGAAGAAGGCAGTATACCTTCGATATACCGCCCGTATACACTAGTATACAGCCATGTATACGCAACTTGCTTGGGCCAAATTCCACTTGGTTGTTTTGATTTCAGTAGGCCCAAAGGAGCTAATGGGCTGACCCATGATTATTGCCAAAACTATAGACTTAGGACAGGTGGCCCAAAAGGCCAATTTAATTGGGTTTGGGCCAAAAGTCCAAGTTCAAATATTTCTTTCCCTCTATTATTATTTACATTGTATTGTTGGACTAACTTTATTTATTTTATGGTTGAATTTAATTAAATTCTCAAAGATAGCCAGTTCACTTTTTTTATATATTCAAATTAAAATATTTATATTTTATACTTAGCTTTATTTTATTATTCGTCTTGTCACTTAATTTATTTCCCTTTTAGAAAAATTCTCTTTATTTCATTTCCCCTTAAGATAATTAAAATGACAATAATAATAAAATAAAATAAAAATAAACTAAATAAAATAGTAATAAAAATGAGTTTCTTACTTAGTTAGTATTTTCTAAAATTAGTCGAAGTCATTTTAGTCAAATCGCCGGTCAATTGCAAGTTAGTGGACATTCCGAGGGCCTAACACCTTCTCGGAATGTACATTTGAACTCGAACCCTTTTATTTTCAATTGATTTTATCTGTTTAAGTCTTTTGAAAACCTTAAGTTTTTTGCTTGATTTTTACTGAAAAATTAAGTGGCGACTTTGTCCTTTTGAAAATTCGATTTCTCTTAAATCATAGGTTTAATCGATTTTTTGAAACTTAGTCATTTTTCTTTTATTTATATTTTCTAGTAAAACAGGGTCAACATAAAATGGGTAATAATTCAACCCGCCCATATTTGATATGGGTAAAAATGGATTGGGTAAGAAATGAGTTGGGTAAAATACTAGTTTACCCATATTTTCATGAGTAAATAGTACTCTACTTTAGAATTCAACATGGAGAAAATATTTTAGTCTTTTTTTTAGATGAAAAATGTTTCATTTAGTTTTATTGTATCATAAAAGTAAAAAAAAAATCCTTTAACTTTTCAATATAAATAAATTTATGTAATAACAAGGGGAAAATATTTTTTTAATTTCAAAGTAAATGAATATTTGCAATTTAGGACTTGACTAAAACATGCTTAATGCACTTTAAGCAATGTCAATACTAATACATGATTTGCTTATATTACGCTATTATTTATATCCAATATAAAATTAAACAAATAAAAAATATAATTATAATTAACAAAAGAATCGTACATTTAAAATATATATTTTTGGAGGGTCACAGACTTCACATTTTCAATTATAGAGAAAAGTAATTAGTTCTATAGAAGAACATAAAAAGGAAGAGAAGTTACAATATTATTAGCGATATGAAAGAGTTTTGAGTGAATAAAAGTTAGAAGCTTAACCCATTTGGCTAATCCATATTTTATCCATATGTGTATGGGTTGAATATGGATATCAACCCATATTTTACCCATGTAAAAAGTCACTCACCCAACCCATTAAAATATGGGCGGATTGGATGGGTTACCAAAATATGAGTTCATTTTGCCGGCACTACTTATGTTGAAGCTTCCATCAGTGTTAATCTTGAGTAGTGTAATGTAATTTTTTAACGTTATAACTGTATATAGTAAATATATAGCACATATTTGTCTTAAAATAAAAATTTTCATATTTTTAATACCAAAATCTAACAAAAGATATATTTGTTCCATTTTTAATAGTTTATGAGTATTTTTTATCCTCCTTCCCTATTTCTTAACCTATAAAAAATCTTTTTCGTTGGACATTGACTGTCAAACCGCCCATCCACACATGAATGTGAAAAATGAAATGTTATCATTGATGTTATATTCTTTATTAATTAAAATGACAGGTTGGGCAGCAACTTCCCTAGTAATATGGATTTTAGTCAACGTACATTTCTTTTTAAAGATAATAAAGTGCGCTGTAAATCAAAATGTTTACAAATCTGAATTTACTTTTATTAATTAATTATCTTAAGATTTGTTATCTCACTATTATAATATTATTTTTATTCAAGGGTAACCGACCAAGATAACTTGTTCCCAATTGATTTATATGAATTAGAGTAAAAATTTCGTCTAAGTTTGTTTCTTATTTGGTGACAAATTATGGCATGGACTTGACGTGTTGGCTGTTGCCACTTAAAAAGATAAGATTCTATTTGCTTACTAATATTGGAGTAACTTTTTCAATATTATATTTGAGCGTATTTTGAGGTACACAAAGTGAATAATACGTACGTAATCTCGTTCTTATGTAATTCATTAGAATGTCCACACTGTATTGGTTTTTAAATTTGGATTTTAATTTTAAGTGTAGTAAATCGAATCGAATTTTAATTTGGATTGATTTTATTTTTTTTAATTTGATTTTGAATTAATAATTTGCTTTATTTGATTTCGAATTTAGAAAAATAAAAATTGATAAATCGAAAAACCCGAATTATATTATTTTTATATATACACTTTAGTCCCTTTTTAGTTATTATCTTTCATTATGATTTAGTTTATCTTTTATGTTTGGACATCTATAATTGATATACTTTTAAGTATTACGTTGTACGTTTTACTTGTGATTTATATTAGATAGTAAATTATTGAGATAACTGAATAATTGAACCGAAAAGAATCAAACCAAATCAAATTTATTTTGGTTCGGATTGAATTACACTTTTTCAAAATCAAAACCGTATAATATAAAATCAAATCGAAAAATCGAATGCACATGACACCCCATGTTAAAGTAAGGGGTATAGGTGGTCTAGCTATTTACTTAACGACGAAGGTATTCTTAATCTCAAAATCTAACAAATATTAATAATTCGTTTAGCTTTGGGTTTGAGAGTGTCAAACCGCCCAAACTCACATGAATGTAAAAAATGAGTATAGAAAAATGAAATGTTTCTATTATTGATGTCATACTCTTTATTAATTAAATTGATTTGGTGGTTGAAGAAATTTTCCCAGTAATATGACACAAGTCATACATATTGTGTATGTTTGGGCGTATGTCCTATTAGTATCACCGTACATACAATTGTATATCGTCTTGTGTGTATGTCAGACGTATTTTAAGTATGTATGTATAAAAACTAAAATATTGTATGTATGCATGTATATATATAATTTAACAAATAATCTTTCTATAATCTATTATTAGGGGCATTAATTAATAGTGCTAATTAAGAAAATTTCCCTAAATAAATCTAGCATCAGCATTGAGATCGTCATACCACCCATTCACCCGATGAAAGGGAAGTTGCAAATTAAAAAAAGCTATTTTCCAGGTAATTATGGATTTTTATTTAACGTGTATAATCTTTTTAAATTAAAAAGTGACTATCAGGATTTACTAATAAATTCAATTTGAAGTATTTGAAAAATCAAAATGTCGACATATTAATGCACGCGTATGAACTAGATAATAGAAATACTAATATAAATGTCAAGGCCAAAAAAAAAAGACTTTCTTCGCAATATTCACTTAATTTAAACAGATATAATTTATTACTAATTTACAAGTAATTCAAGATTAATGTTAAATTGACTTGACGTGTCGCCAGTTAAGCAAATATAATTCTTATTTGCTAAATTAAGGGATAGTAGTCATGGCTTTATACTATCTGCCATCATTTCTTGATTTAGAGATAATGAATTGCTCCTTTCATTTCTTTTCTTATATAAGACTTAAGAGTTCAAAATTTATAGTGAATTATATTATTCCATTCATTATATTACATATCTCTTTTGTGAAGGAAAAAACATTTCATTAACTTAATTATTTGGATATCGTTGCTTCAATCAAATTCATCGATTCATCTTCACATGAACCTTTATCATGTCTCTACAACTTCGGACAGACGACTACAACTTCACCACCCGATCATGATCTTACCGGCACCTCCGTGGAGCTGTTGCTAGGCTCTCCAATTTCTAAATTTTAGTGTACTTAAGTTGAAGCTATCTCAGTGGATCGTATCAGTAAGACTACTCAAAAGAAAGTCGTGAAGAAACTACATACAACTATAAACTCATCTTTTTTCTGAACCCCGTGCACCGAGCTAAACTTTTAAGATGAATTTTCTAGAGGTGGTCGTCCAGGTAGAAAACCGGGGCGACAGTGATGTCTATCTGAAGGAGAGTCTCCTTCATGCACTGCCAGGACGATACGGCCTTGTGATTAAAATTGCCCCGTTCAGCACAAAGGTTATCGCGGCGCATACCTTCTTTGCCCGCAATAAGTCCTTCGGGAGGCCCTCTACCGTAGAGGTTCATATAAACGGGAAATTTATTCAGTGCTTGACTCCACAGACGTTTGTACATTTCCCAAAGATCATCGTTGACGATGGTTTTACCGATGGAGAGGGATCAATCATCCGTGTGATTCATCCCCAAAGACCTCTTGAGCTCTCTCGTCTAAGGTATGAAAAAAAATAAAAAGTTTTATTGGTATATATCATGATAAATCACATGATTTCTATTTAATTTGAAATGGTAAAGGGTCAAATATATACCAGGGGTGGCTCTACAGCTCAAAGAAAAGGCAGTTCCCCTTAGGTTTCTTGGCCTATTTTTTTCTTTGAATTTTTTTAAAATTAAATTAAAAACACTTGAGTTAGATTATTTCTATAGTATATAGTATAATATAAAATAAAAGGTACTATCATTTTAATATTGATAACTTAATTTATTCATCTTGTTTATGATTAGGGCATTCAACTTTCTTGCGATGGGATTCAAAGAAAGAAAGGAAGTGTGGATTGTGAAGAAATAAGGACTCAGTCAGATGCATGGATACTGCAGGCTGCGGCTGAAAAATTAAACAACATTTTGACGTTTCTGTGTTTTTTTTCTTAATTATTGTTATGGAGGATGTGTGCGGTTCTTTTTAATTTCTTCATTTGTTTTCCTCCTGCGTGTACTTTTATTTTTAATAAGGGGATAACACACAAGTACCCCTAGAATATGATCGAAATTCCAGAGACACACCTTAACTAAACTAAGGTTCTATTACCCCCTAAACTTTTTTTTTATAATTTTGTACACCTTTTGTTTTACGTGGCACACTCCGTGACTCCATGCAATTGAGGCGCGTGAGAGATATTGGATGCCACGTAAACCAAAAAGGTGCACAAAATAAAATAAAAATGGGTTCAGGGGCAATAAGACGTTAGTTTAGTTAAGGTGTGCCTCTGGAATTTCGATCATAGTCTAGAGTGGTACTTGTATCTTTTCCCTTTAATAAAATAAATAATAAAGAATACAGGTGGTTTTGTTTTGAATTTTTTATTGTCGTAAGTCTTGGATATTTACTTTTAAAGATACTATAGTTTTTGTTTTTTTTTTCTTTCCGAATTTTTGATTGTTATAACTTGTATTTTATTTGGGATGGAATTAGTCATTATTGACTCTTGCAAGAATGAAAGTTGCTATTTATTCAACAACTTCCTGAAGGTGCAAAAAGACATTTCCTCATGGATAAGAGACAGATCCCAATTATTAGATTGAAATTTGACAAAGCAAACGTTCATGTTAGTTAGGCAGTTAGGCTAATTGAATGAAAGTAGATTTTATGTTACTTACACGCTCTTCTAGAGTTGTTCTTAAAGTATCCTTTTGAAAAAAAAAAAAACTTTTGGACAAAAGGATACAAGTTTAATGTTAGACCTACAATCAAAGAAAGTTTTCATTTCAAGATTTATGAAAACTATTCCCAACATCCTTTCTTCCTATTGAGAGTGTTGTTTTTGTGAAATTTAATTCTGATCAGGATAAATTTCACTCTCACTTTACAGAGACAGACTATAACAATATTAATACTTGTAGTAGTCCAATTTATGATTATCAGGATTCTTATCCAAATAATAATAACACGAAAAATCTAGAAAATTTTAAATTGCAACTGCTTGATAAAATGAATGAAAATCAAGACCTCATTCCCAACATGCCAATATTGGCACTAATAATACGTAAATATAACTCGTTGTTCAAACAACTATTCAGAGTTCTTAGAGCTCCTTGTAAGGCTTATTTTTTTTATCACGATCTGAATATCTCAATAATTTATAACTAGCTAGCGAAAACTAAAATAATAAAACAAGGCAGAAAGTCGAAGCATATGCCCAACAAACTAGATCAAGGTATTTCCGCAATACCACTTGTAGAGGGTTTGAGCTAACAATATCAACTTATTATCTGCTCACTATTAATACACACTTAAAGATGTATAATACATATGTATATCAGTGTATAGACCCAGTATATCTATACTCTTTCCTCAATACTCCTCTCAAAACTTGGTACTGCAAAGAATGTCAGAAAACCCAAGTTTGGACATAAGATATTCATATTATCTTATTTTTTTCGAGTTTTATATTAAAATTATTAGGGGCGCCAGTTTCATACCTAAATTATAACTCATTAGTTTGAGAAACACATCTCAATGGTGTGTGTAATGTATACTGTCTCTTTTATTTGACGTGTCTCCACTTAAGAAAATAGGATTTTTATTTGATAACTTCAGGTAATGTTATTTGGATCCGGCTCCTCTCCATTTCTCTTCTCTCCATTTTCCCCAAGTTCCTACTTAGATGTATGACACTTGTATTATTTAAATATCAATGGTGCATATTTTTAAGTAATCAAATACCTTAATCATGATTAAAAGGATATATATTACCATTTAAATCCATCTAATTATTGTTATAAAAAAATCATCTCACAAATTTTTTGCACCACCGTTCAAATCATTTTCGTTATCTATAGTTTTTCCATTCACCAAAAAAAAAATGTTTCTTCATAGACTAAATTTCTATCAATTTAAAATATATATTTAAATAAGCTACTTTACCAAGAAAAATATTGTAAATCATAAAATAGAATTTTTAGCATTCAAATATTAAATAAAAAGTATTGAAAATTACTTTGCCATAAAATATCTAAGAAAACTAAAAGTTAGACAAACTTTTCCAAAAGATAGATATAATTTATTTATTTTTTAAAAATGTATATATTTTTTATCGTGACTCAAGTTGTTAAACTATGGAAGAACTCTTTTTATATCAAAAGCTTAATGCTATTTAATTGAAGTAAATCCATTTTTTCTCAAAAAAATGGAAAACGAATATTTTCTTACTAAAGTTGGGAATCTTAAATATCTTTTTTAATCATGGTTAATTAGTATACTTTTTTATTAAGAAAACTAATTAATCTAGACCCTTAATATTTAAGTAACATAGGTGTCATACATCTAAGTAAGAACTTGGGGAAAATGGAGAGAAGCTTTCGCTAAACGTATATAATAAAATAGAGTGAAAAGGTCCACCCCGAAACCAGGGATACTAACTAACAGCTGAGTCCTCTCCGAACCGCAGGAGATAGTTGCCCATCATAAGGCTCGAATCCATGTTATTTACTCCAATAACATTGTTATGGAGGATGTGTATCTTTGTCTATTTTCCTCCGCTGCGTGTATTTTTATTTTTAATGATACTGGTGATTTTATTTTTATTTCTGATTGTCATAAATCTTGTATTTTTATTTTTTAAAAGATACTAGTAGTTTGTTTTGAACTTTAATTTTGATTGTAATAAATCTTGACGTGTTTTCATTCGGGATGAGGCTCCTCTCCATTACTCATCCTCTCCATTTTTCAGTACCTACTTAAATAACAACCACATGTTATAATTAAGAATCAATGATTGAAATTTAATTATCTAAATTAAGGTCTAACCATGATTAGAATAACAATAATTTCTTTATTTACTTCTAAATTTTTTTATCAAACCCACTATTCTAACTAAAAAAAATAATCTCATTAATTTACTTCGAAAATTAGCTATTTTCCATTTGATTAACGAGCTCATCTTTTTTTGTAAAAAAATATTTTCTTTTGTCTTTTTTTTTGGGTCATGTAGTAATGTTAAGAAAATTTAAAAGAATATTTGCAAATTTTAAATTAAAAAGAAACTGCATGATGTTAATTTATTTTTTCTCCAAAGAATTTTAGAAACAGAATTTTCGTAACAAAAAAAATAAAAAAAATCTGTTTTTTTAAAAGAGCTGGTAGTAAATAGGAACAGTGAGAAATTATAAATATATTTATGAATGAGAATTTTTATCTAGAATTATGAAATTGATATTTTTTTAAAAGTAAATAAAGAAATTATTTGTTATTATAATCATGGTTAGACCTTAATTTAAGTAATTAAATCTCAGTTTTTGATTCTTAATTATGGCATGTGATTATTATCTAAGTAGGTACTATTTGGGATGTAATTAGTCATTGTGAGTGTATGACTCTTGCAGGAATAAAAGTTGCTATTTATTTGGGATTGCAAGAATGAAAGTTGCTATTTATTTGAGATGGAATTAGTCATTACCCCTCTTACAGGAATGAAAGTTGCTATTTATTTGGGATGAAATTAGTCATTACGATTCTTGCAAGATTGAAAATTGTTATTTATTTAGGATGAAATTAGTCATTACGATTCTTGCAGGAATGAAAGTTGTTATTTATTTGGGATGGAATTAGTCATTACGACTCTTGCAAAAATGAAAGTTGCTATTTACTATTTGGGATAGAATTAGTCATTATGACTCTTGGAATTAAGAATGAAAGTTGCTATTTATTTGGGATGAAATTAGTCATTACGATTCTTGTAGGAATGAAAATTGTTATTTATTTGGCATGGAATCAGGGGTGTAGCTAGATGTTTGGACACCCTTCGTCGGAAAATTATGTTGTATATATATGTCAAATTCTACATTTAAAGGATATATATTTAAGGGAAAAGGGTCAAAAATGCCCTTAAACTATGTGAAAGGAACAAAAATACCCTTCGTTTAAAGTTTGGCTAAAAAATGCCCATACCGTCAATGCTTTGGTTCAAAATACCCTTGCAGTCAATACTTTGGTCCAGAAATGCCCCTATAGTTACAAAATGGGTCAAAATGCTCTTTTTCGAATAAATATTTTTCTTTCTTTCTTTTTAAACACATCTTCCTAATTAAAATATTATTAAAGAACACTATTCTTGTTTTCTTTCTACTAAAATCATTTTAACAAATAAAAATGTAGGAAATATTTTCTTCTTCTCATTCTCATTTTATTAATTAAAATAGAATAACTTCATGTACCCTTTCGACAGATAATATATGTCATATATATAAGATCATAGTAGATCCATCATTAATTTATATTTATATAACGATAAAAAATAATGATAATAAAATAAGAAAATTTTTCATTTTTTATTTTTTTCTGAATTGAAGTAAGATAAACATTTGTTAATTTTAAAAAACATTATTAGAAAAAGAATGTGTTAAAAAGAAAATAATAATATATTTATTTGGAAAATGAGCATTTTGACCCATAAAATAGCAATAAGGACATTTTTGGACCCAAGTATTGACGGTAAGGGCATTTTTTGACCAAACTACAAACGGAGGGCATTTTTATTCCTTTCGCATAATTTAAGGGCATTTTTGAACCAAAGTATTGACGGTAAGGATATTTTTGAGCCAAACTATAAACGGAGGGCTTGTAGATTTACTGGGTGTACACACTGATCAACAATTGTATGTAGGGTGATAAATATAGGACATACGCCCAAACATACACAATGTTATGAAGTGTGTGTCATATGTATTCTACTATATGTATAGTTCTACACATAATATAAAATGACTTATACATGAGATACAAGATCCATATATGTATCACTTGTATGTCACTTGCATTATTGATTTTGCTTTTCTTTTTTATTTGCACATACAATGAATCACCATTAAAAATGAATTACATAAGAATGAGATTACGTACGTATTATTCACTTTGTACCTCCAAAAACAGCTCAATATATTATATTGAAAAAGTGGTGATTGCTTCTTTGATTTGGTGTAGTTATGGATGAAATATTGATAGCAAATCGAATCTTATCTACTTAAGTGGCAACACGTCAAGTCCATGCAATAATTTGTCACCAAATAAGAAACTCTAATTCACATAGTCTCATCATATAAACCAACGTACGTAAGTTTGGTTAAGAAAAAAATATTCCGATCAGATTAATTATTTTGGGATTAGTTGTTTCGAAATTAGCATCAGACTTTTAACATAGATGAAAATAATAGTATTACAATTCCGAAATAAGTTATATGATTTTATCCCAACTAAATTCATTCTAAAAC